TGCTTTTTCTTCTTTTGTCAAAGGCCTTTGTTAGAAAATGGGTTTTAATTGATTGTTAATAGACGAAATAATCGGGCCCTCTCTGGACGGTTTGTCGTCATATAAATACGCCATCGGCTCCAGATATCTAACTACTTCCCATTTCGACGCCCCAAGACAATCTTTATCACTTATATCTGCGACTATTTTGGGCACGAAGCGCTTTGCAACGCATTTAGTCTACTGTGGAAAGCGCGACAGCGACCTTCGAAGTCGACTGAATGCAGGCTAAAGATTTGACACCTCTGTGTTTACTTTCACCCAATCGTCACTACCACTGAGACCAACTCTCCACGAGCACTCACAAAATTACGACCGTGAAAATTATTCTACCTCGGAGCACAGAACTCGAAACGATAGCGAGCAGCCAGCACCCCCCCCCACCGCCTACTCCTGCAATGTCTCTAAATTCATTATGGGCATATTGGCTGCAGCTTTGGGTCTATAAATTCCCAAATTTAGGTCTCACCTGCATAGCTCAAGAACCTGCACCACCTCGTCGTTCTCCACCATTCCATTTCTTGCTGTGATCCGTATTCTCTGTATTCACTTAAACTGTAATCACCGAAGTTTTAAGGTTAGGTTTAAGGGATAACGCTAGAATTGGGGTCTCGTGACAAGATTTAGTTCACATAAACATACACACACACAAAGTTTATGTTTATTACTACTTTTCGTTTACTACTGTAATGAATGGGGTTTCTCTTTGTCCTTTCTTAATATTAATTTTTCGTATTGCCGGTTTGTCGGTTACCTACGATTGCGTTAAGTAGCTAAGTTCATTTTATGCTTTTAAAGTGTGCGATATAGTTTGCACTGCTCACTGATGTACTTAAGCAAGATAATGGCATAAATTTATTTTTGCCATTTCTTATTCGCTGAGTCCGTTGTTCATCACTTACCTTACCCCTTCCTCCCCCCTCCCCTCCTAAATATAGAACCCCTTTTATCACTATCATTTTACTATAAATGCTCTTGACTCCCGTTTGCTGTGTGGGCCTGCATGCGAAACCGTTGCCGAGGACTATGTCAAAGCATCCATTTGATCAGTCGACAGCCGTTAATTTCTCAGATTAGGCACTATCAATGTTTCGGTCGCCGTACTTTGTCTTCTCTCGTGATTACTTACTTTTTGCTCTGTGGTTTGCTTCCTCACTGCCACGTTCGTCTTGTGTTTCGAATGCACATGATCATTCCTGAGTCTTCTGTCTCAGTGCGTGACGGCGCTGATGTCCTCGTCCTTTCCAGTATTTTTGCTAACGCATGTGCTAGTGCATTTTTAAGGGTTCTTGGGGGCGGGCATTGGTTTCAGTTTTTTTACTGCTTCCAGTATTCGGCTTCTGAATTTCGCGGGATAAAAGACTGTCGGGTGGCTTTTCAAGTATTAGCCTTAAAAATTTAATTTTCCTCCTTTCGTTACCCTTCTTTGTAGTGTGCTTGTTTATGAGTACGAATATGATGATTTCTCAATCCAAAAAAACTCGTTCATTACCAGTCATCCGATTGATAAAAAAACACTGTTCTCTCTTGTTTCCGGTATCAGTACTTCTAATAAATCGGCACTACTTGATGTTTTCTATGCAGGATTTAACCGGAAATGTAGGATATAAGCACCCAATGCTTGTTTTCTTTTGTTTTAAAGGTGGCTCGCTTCCTGCTCTTGAGCGCAAAACGTTAGTCTCTTATTTTATTATTTTGTTTACTTTTTAGAAAGTTCTATCGTCCTAGTTCCGTACTTTTCAGTAACGAGCTTCGGACAGTTAACCTCGCCATCGTGCGCTTGCAAAATGTAGACTTTTGGTGAGTTAATTTCCTTGCTAGAATTGTACCGTGTCAAGTCCTCGGTATAGTTTATGAAGAATGCATTAAATTCATAGAATATGCCTGAAAAGATCCTTGAAATGCCGCTGCGATACTGGATGACTCGGAATATAAGTTTCAGTTGTTTTATGAACGCTTTAAGTTGACATTTCTTTAACTATATGTCTTATTGGCACTGTGAAGCATTTTAATTTAAGTGGTGCATTGTTTTCTTCTATCTTCCATGGGTATGCAAGTTACATACTTTTTTTCCAAAACAGAGTACATACATAGTGGTTTGCAATGTCGATTTGACGAGAGTGTACGTCTTCAAATTCTGTGCTTCAAGGAAATGAATATTGTGGTTTCAAAAGGCAATCCATTTTTTTCAGTAATTCAACCTGCGTCTTTACCTGTGCCGAAGGGTTTGCGGATCGTTCGCTATGTGTGTACCTCCTAACCTTATCCCTTTATCTCTTATATCGTCACGAAGAGGGTTTCCGGAATTAATAAAATACGCCGGTGGATGCGGATCACCAGCATTGGAAAACCTGCTGAGTTTATTTCATGCCAATGGTCCTCCGATATTCTAAAAATTCTCAAAATAAAAGACTCTTGAAAGACCGCGGTACGGCCCTCCTTTTAGTGAAGCTTTCAAGGGAGACGTGTTTTCCCACAGATTCTGCATGAAATCGCAGAATCTAATGAATCCTTTCTAGGAAATTTAACTGAACTAAAACCGGCGTGGGCAAGTAATTGAAAAACCATGCAGTAAATACGTGGTATTTTTTGTCCCAGTACTTCTATCAAGTACCAACAGTGCTGAAGTTCTGTTTTTCAGTACTGTTACCGTCCTTCAGTAATATTTATTATTTTGGGAATAATATTTGAATACCTTAGTAGACCTTGGCCTAGTTTTGGCACATACCGACTCCTCACACACTAAGTGCCAACTTCTCAGCCCCTGTGTCTTGGGTTCCCTCTTTCGCGGATCCATCAGCTGTTTTTCACAATCGACCACTTTCGTCGACGATGACGAAGATGCGGTGATCGTTGTGTCCCTCCCGCTCTTATGTGACTGAATATTCCCGATGTCAGCCAAGATGGCAGTGACTCGCGGTGTGGACCTTGCTCAACTGACGGCAGGAACCATGGAGATACTAATGCGGGGTTTATGCACCTTCTAGTTAGTTCGAAGCATTAGAGAAGACGACCTGTGGCTTTCGGCATTTCCTGTGTCAGAGAAATTTTTACAATTACTTGCACTGATCTGCAGTTCAGTCACTGCGCATCCTAGTTAATGCGGAGCAATGGCCGAGGGCGATGGCGGAAAGAGACACGCGTGTGAGAAAAGATTGCATTTCCACATTGTAGTCCCAGCAAACCCCTTTTTACCGCACCCTTTGCGTAACATTTCGCGTGTGAGACACTTCAAATGAAGATGCCTATCATAACACCTGATATATGAATAATTGGAAGCTACTACGCCAGATAATTTAATAATAAAGAATGAGGCGTTTGAATGTTGCTGGTAGACCAGAGACAGCCTGTCAATTCCAACGACCTGGTCTGTTCAAAGGCAATTTGAAAAGTTAAGGGTTTCTCTAATAGTTTTTGCTGGATCTGCTTCGATAAAAATTCTCTGTCAAGCATGTCTCCGATGAAATTTTTCCGAGTACGTTTAGCGCTCACTTTCCTGAATTCGTCAGTTTTTGAACGAACTGTTTGTGCATTTGTCTGCTTCCTGGCCTCCATGTCGCTAGGAGGTAGCGAGCAAAGACTTCGTTTTTAGGGTTGGAAACGTTTTATAATTTCATCGAGCTGATTAATTGGAAATTTTCTTGAGTTGCACTTCCAGTTTCCTTTTTTCCTGATTTGCATGCTCGCTCGTTTAAAGAAAAGTACTCTCTTCTTTATTTCGTCCTTTTATTTTGTTGTAGTTTTGATCTAAGGTCTGATGATCTGAATCATCCTCGTGTACGTCCTATTAATTACCGGCTTCTTTTTAATGTCCCACCCCGGTAAGTCACATTGCTATTTTTAAGAAATGTAGACGTTCTAAATCTCAAGAGGGAAACTTTTTGCACCTCTCTGTTTGACTTTATTGTGGAATTTAGAGAGTTAAGTCCTTTTGTCCATCCGGTACTCCATGCATGTATTCGTCTGATGACGTGCAGGTTCATTGACATAATCGGACATTTTTCAGCTACCACTACTTCGCAAAGTTGCTATAGAGGAGGATAACATTGTATCTGTTTAGCGACTGTGGTCGGGGAACTGTGACTTAAACAGCTCGCGGCTCAAGCTGCCGTCGCACTTGTCGGGGATGATGGGAGTCTTGGAACTTGATGGCGTGACTGGGTCCTTTTGAATGAACCGCGACTTGCCGACTGTCTTCATTCCTCATCATTGCCGTTGCATATTCATGTATCCGCGTCCAAACAAAGCTCCCAGTTTCTTTGACGTGGTTCGTAACTGAATCAGATACTTTAAATGACTATGGACGCTTTCCGTCGTGATAGAGATTATTTTGATCTCATTGTTTGCCGAATGATAGTTGCCTCTGGCCTGTCTTCAAACCCAACTACACAACTTGAATCACACTGTCTAGGCATGCCAAAAATGCGACGTTATACTTTATTGCAAATTATGTCATTTCGATCTTTTGTTTATATTAGGTTTGCGTTTTGCCCTTAAAAATATTTACTACTGAGAATTTTTCAGACGTTCCAATGGCCATTGTGGTAGATTTGAGCACTATGAAGTTCAAGTCATGCAGATTGATCGCTGTCTAGTACAGTAGTCTGAACGTTTAAATGTAGGTTCCTATGGCAATAAGTGGATATATTTATTTATACCTAGAGAACGTAGGCGTTATTTAATTTCGAAACCCTTAGCACAAGCTAGAAACCTGGTTGTGTTTAATGTATGCGAGAAATGACATTTTGTACATGCTTTCTAAAATATATAGTTGGTGTTTTCAGTTTTCAAAATTCGATATAAGAAACACACTCTACTTACGAAGTATTTTTCTCATGCATGATTTTTATGGGGTATCAGAAACGTTCCCGGCTCAAAATCAGCAGTCCGCCGCTTAGGGCTTAGTTTCTTATCATGCTTCGCAGTGATCTTACCTCCAGGTCCACCCAAGTAATCTTTTCTATTTGGAGACATTCTTAAGCATCTAGCTTTTAGGTATCCAAAAGAGAAAAGCATATTGGTGGTGTCTGGCGTGCAAACCTCCCGCTATAGTGTTGTTTTCAGTTATGCTTACAGTTACAGTTTGTCCGTTATCCTTCTGTCTCTTTTAGCTCAACTGCCACCGCCCTTGATACTGCTGTTATCGCCCCTGTTAGCACCGCCTCTCCTACCATTCCTTGCACCTCAGTCAAGTCCCCCGAGAAGATGGACCGGTTTCGGGACCTGGAGTCGAAGCTGGAGATCACTACCCAGCAGCGGGTAAGTCGCCTGCCTAGTAACTCTTGTGCTTATCATTCACCCGCAGTAATGCGCCATCTTTTATTTTCCCCAGCGCTCTGTAACATCTCTTTTATTACGTTGGGACAAAAGTTCTACAGCACTTGCGAGAATTAGATTTTTATGCACAAATTTATGAAACCAATCACTACCTTGCTTTTGGCAATAAAAAAACAAGAGCAACCAATCTCCTGGATGAAGTCCATCATTCTCGACAATAGATAGAGAAGGAGAAGACGTTTCGATCACCAGAATCATAATTTTGTTCGTCTGAGCTTTCGGTCTCTTACTAGAGTCCATCGTCAGAGGTAAAAGCGTCATCGAAAAACAAGCAACAGTTATAGGGGGACAGAGGC